AGAATGACTCCAAAACATCTGCAGGCAAAGAGAATGACTCCAAAACACCTACAAGCAATGCTTCGGAGAAGAACACAGCTTGGAGATAAACACCAGATCAGCATTCCTGGAAGGGATGAAGCAAGAATTAAAAGAGTTGAAAATGTTTTTATAAATAGAATGAGAACACATGAGGAAAAAATTGGAAAGGAAATATCAGCTTGGCACAAGAAACACGAAGCCCACCCAAGTAACAAACTCCCTGAAAATCCGAATGGGCCATATAGAAGCCAATAACTGCATGAGACAATAAGAAATACTAAAACAAAATCAAAAGGCTGAAAAATAGAAGAAAATGCAAGGTTTATTTCAGGGTAAAAAAAACAGATCCAATAAAACAGATTGAGGAGAAAAAAATGAATAACCATTGGACTAGCTGATATCATGAGGGATTAGAATATAATATTCTAGGAGACAAAAGATATGGGTTTATAGCCAAGAATAACTTACCCAGCAAAACTGAGTATAATGATACAAGAAAAATGATGAATTTTTAATGAGAGGACTTCTAAGGATTCCTGATTAAAAGGCCAAAGCTGTAGAGAAACTCTGAAGTACAAACATAGGTATGAAGAGAAACATAAAAAGGGTTAGGCTTAGGATCACATGAATGAACAACGATAAAGGATTCACCAAGGATTAAGTATTCACATTAAAATATGGAGGACATATGTGTCGCTCCTCTGAACTCTACCCTTGTTAGGTTCCATAGAAGGAATTGTTACTTGAAAAATAAAAATAATAAACTATTTAAAAAAAATAAAGTCAAGGGGAGCCATGTGTAGAAAGAATTAGAATGGAAAACTTTTGTTCCAGAAATGTGCTATTGGGTCATTTTCTAAATGGTGAGAAAAAAATTAAATGCTGAAAGATAGAAGCTATAAGGCACAGTGACCCAAGAAACAGATGGCAATGCTATATTAATAGCCACTTCTCTTTCTTAGGAAAGATTTCAGAGCCCTTAAAGTCACATTTCCATGGATGACATTATCTCAGCTTTGTTCTAGTGGTCTAGGTTTTAGTCTGATGTTTCATCCTAGATGATGATCAATTAATCAAGAGCCATCACCCACAGTAAAGTTATTTGCCACTTTTAATCTAGAAAATTGGACTCATTTATAAAACTGCGCATCCCCTTTGACCCAGCAATATTACTTCTAGGGCTGTATTCCAAAGAGATCATAAAAATTGGAAAAGGACCCACATGTACAAAAATATTTATAGCAGTTCTTTTTGTGGTGGCCAAGGATTGGAAATTGAGGGAATGCCCATCAATTGGGGAATGGCTGAACAAGTTGCGGTACATGAATGTAATAGAATAATATTGTGCTATAAGAAATGATGAGTAGGAAGATTTCAGAAAGACTTATATGATCTGATTTTTGAATGAAGTGAGCAGAACCAGGAGAACATTGTGCATAGTAACGGCAACACTGTACAATGACCAGTTTTGATAGACCTAGTTCTTCTCTGCAATTCAAGAATCTAAGACAACTCCAAAAGACTCATGATAGAAAATGCTGTCCACATCCAGAGAAAGAACTGTGGAGTCTGAAGGCAGATCGAAGCAGACCATTTGCTCTTTTTTTTTGGTGTTGTTTCTTCTTTCTCATAGTTTCTCCTATTGGTTCTAACTCTTCTTTACAATATGACTAATATGAAAATATGTTTAATATGAATGTTTATGTAGAGCCTATATAAGATTGCACGCCATATTGGGGAGGGAAGAGGGGAGGAAGAGGGAGAAAATTTAAAACTCAAAATCTTATGGAAGTGAATGTTGAAAACTAAAAATAATTTTTAAAAATTGGGCTTGTTTAACTACCAATGTGCCTTCACAATGTAAATAAAACATTGGAAAGACTCTAAAGTTGATGGTAATGTTAGGAGAATTCAATTTTCTGTATATCTTTTGCTGTTGCCAATTTATGTAATCTCCCTCACTTAGCACACACATTCACACAATGCCTATATATGGATCATACTAGACCAAGTATGAAAGAGATGGTTCTATAAGCTTGAAGGCAAGGTGACAGACATTTCCAAAGTCATTTTTTAAAATCAAAAGCATCTGGAAATGCTCAGTTGAGCTACGATCAATAACTGGAAATATAGACAATCATACTTCTTCACCAAAACAGATAACCAAGTTCACTGTTAAACATTCTGATAATCATTATGCTATTACTAACTAAGAGTTAGAAAAACAGAGGAAAGGAATCTGAAGAATAGAAAAATGATGCTTCTTGGATGAATCACCTTCTTCCTTCTGGACAGAAGGAACATCCAGCCTTGGACTGTTGAAGATATGGGGAGGGGAAGGAGTGGAGGAGAGCTGTTCTAATTGGCGTGAGAGTAGTTATGATCCTAGGAAATAAGAGGAGGTATGGGGGCTACAGAAGAAGTCAGTAGGAAACCCTGTGCATGAACAAAATCATCATGACAAAATACTTCTTCTTCAGTTCAGTTCAGTTAAACAAGCATTTATTAGGCATTTTGCAATTTGAAGTTTAGGTAAGTCAGGGCCCCTGACTTCCAATTTCTCGTCTACGTAAGGGTGTAAAGTGACTATTTTGAATGAAGCATCATTCACCTTAACTTATCACTTCACTATAAATATAAAGAGTTTGAGCAATTGTTAATGTAGAGAAAATCTAATTTTGTCTATTGACAGTGGAGGAAAGAATAGGTGTTTGTATAGACTAACTTAATTAAGATGCTATATGCTGAGAACCATGACTCAAGAGTTACCTGGTGTAATTACTACAATTTGTTTACATAAGTAGAATTCACATCCTTGAAAACAATGTGTACATATATATTTCTGGGGTTTTTTTGTTTTTGTTTTTTTTTTTTTGGTTAGGCAGTGGGGTTAAATGACTTGCCCAGGGTCACACAGCGAGTAAGTGTTAAATGTCTGAGGCCAGATTTGAACTCAGGTCCTCTTGAATCCAGGGCCAGTCCTCTATCCACTGTGTCACCTAGCTGCTCCATACATATATATTTCTAATAAGAGTTTATTAGTGTTCTCCTTTCTTTATGTAAAGTTCAATGATAATGACATATATAGTTGGTACCAAATAGATTCTTGTAAACATGGTATGAGTGGAAGGATAATGAGGTGTTCAGCAAATATGTAAAATATAATAGGTAAAGTGAAATTGATAATGATGAATTACATACAAATTATTAGAAGGTAAAGAGTTATTGAAGTATTTTATAAATATGCTTTATATAACTAACATTTTCTGCATAAGAATCTGAAAGTTAATCTTTATCAACTTTTTACTGTACTAGAATAAATGCCTGACGTGCACCACTGAGATTTTTTCAAATACAAAGGATTTTTCAATTTATCATAAGCTTCTCTCAAAAGTATTATTTCAGCTGTCATTTTCTCTTTTCAGATTCTGAAATATTTTCAAATCCAAAGTATTCAAATGCTCTGTTCCCCCATTTTTAACATAAATTTCTTTCAGTTACAGGATATGGCCCATGTCTGAGTCAAATTTCCATTTTATGAGACTCAAATAAAATGGTTTTTATTTTATAATGAAAAACTATGTTTTTGCAGAGAACCACACAATATATTCACTTTATTGTGATTGAGAGGCTTTTCTGATCATAATGTTTTCCCATTACTTTTCCTAAAATTTTGGAAAAGATAAATATTGCAAGCATATTTGGACTAGTGATTTCAGGAAAGTTTCCAAAGAGTCAGTAGGCCCAATGCAATTTGGCAATGGATACAGCTTCCTGGCAAATAAACAGAACTCAGGAAAATAAACAAATCATGAGCTGCTGAGAAGAGTGTTATTATTATTGTTGTTATTATTATTATTACCTTTTCTCTCCAGTTATCATCGCTCAGCATCTTCTGTCTGAAGTTTTCCTGCAGCTGCTCAAGTCTATTCTGATGTGAAATCAGCATTAACTCCCTGAAAACCACAAATCCAACAAAGTACATATTTAACTTGAAACAATCCCAGATGACAGTTTCAAGCTTATATAATGACATTATTTTGAAATTTGTCTGCTCTTCAGCCTAACAATACTGCTATAATGCAGCCAGGTGCCATTTTAGCCAATGTAACAAAATTTACAAGTACTGTACACCAAAAACAATTGACTTTTTTCCATGCCTATTTTTGTTCATGGTTTGCCATACTGTATTGTCTCATAAAACAACAAAAATAATAGAGGGAAAACAAGTGGGAAAAAAATTTTGGTCTGAAACTCAGTGAAGTCATATATTGTTCAGAGCATTCATAGATGAACCTGAAAGGAAGGCAACAAGAATATGGAAACAGAAGAGATTTGACAAGGTTTCTATGATATTCTGTTTCCATAATCACTGGCAGTATTACCACCGCATTAGCCATCCCACGTCTCAGGCCTAAATACAGTCTTGTGGTATCAGGAAACAGAATGAAACACAAAGATGATGCTGGGTAAAGTAGCTGAACCAGAGCAAGCACAAGAACTCGTGGAGCAATTCTGGTCTCAAGGCCCCCCAGTGCTGAAAGCAGGGGCCTTCTTACTGGACTCCCTCATGATCATGCCACCACAGAACCTCAGCATCGGGAAACTCATCATTCTGTGGGATTGCACTAGTCTTGGTACTCACGCTGTGACTGGAGGAGACAGTCTCTGGACTGGAGGAGAACGCCTCCCAAAGCCTCCAGTTAAAGAGAGCTCCCAGACCGGCCATCCCTTCCTTTCTGTTGAGATGGACTCCATCAGGGTGTTCCTCCTCCAGTGCCCCACCTTTTCATCTTCCTTTTGTGTGTTGACTGCCCCTGTTAGATTATAAACTTCTGGAGGGCAGGGACTGTCTTTCTTTTTGTATTTGTATCCCCAGTGTTTACTTAGCACAATGCCCAGCACATAGTAGGCACTTGATATTTATATAACTATTTTTATATTGCCTTCATTTTCCAAATATCTCTGGCTTCTTGCTCTCCCCAAGTAGCCATTCCTTATAACAAAGAATAAAAGGGGTTGGGGGAGGTGGGGGAGCAGTTCAGCAAAACTAACCAATACATTAGAGAACGACAATATAAACATCGTTCCACACTGCAAAGCTCTCTCCCTTCTTTGAAGGAACGCAGGACTATGGATGTGTCCCTTCTCCCATGTCATTGTTGGAGACAAATTTGGCCATTATCATTTCACAACAGTTAAGCGTTCTTGAGACAGAGGTCTCTCAATCACTCCTAGGCTAGGGCCCGATGCTCCTGCTGAAGCTCTGACCTGCTGCGTTTCCCATCTGGGCTGGATCATTCCTCCCTGGACAGCTTTGGGATGCCCCATTGTTGGGGCTCACCAAATTGGTGTCAGACTTAGTGTGGGCACCTAATCAGCTAATTTAGCCAGATTGCTTCTCAGAACTCCTGAGCTCGAGCAATTCCCCAGCTTCAGCCCCCCCCAAAAGAGGGAATGACAAGCTCACCACAGTGATAGCAACATTGCTTCTATTGCTTCGTTGTTACTGTTTCCAAGGGCATGATTGTATTTATTGGGCATATTGTTCTACTGGTTCTGTTTGCTTCCTTTGCATTATTTAATTTAAATCTTCCTATCCTTCTATGAGTTTTTCGTTGTCATTATTTCTTACAGTGCAGCTAATATTCTACTATACTTGTGCACCATAATTAATTCAAAGTTCACCTTTTTAACCCCATAATCCCTGTAGAATTCAAGGTGACCCCAAAGGCCATATCTATGGTGGGCACAAGTGGACAATGACAGTTTTTCAATGATGACTATGCCAAGCAATGTTTTCTCTCCTCTCACTCTCTTCTTAAACCCGGACAATCTGGCTTCCAACTTGATCATTCCACTGAAATTGCTCTTTCCAAAGTTACCAAAGATCTTTTAGCTGCCAAATCCAATGTGCTAACTGTGCAACGGAAAAGGGAGGTACAGGAAAGAGGAGCCCTGCATGCCACCCGCCTTGCCACAAGCAGGAGCAAAGCAGAGGCTGCTCCTAAATGGAAAGATCCCGCTTTGTGCTTCCAATAGCCATGGTGCTCATCGGACTCTGCCCCTCAGCTGTAGAAAAGAGGGACAGGCTCCCCAAGGTGAAGAGAAACTGGCCTTTTGCTCCAGTCCCTTCTAGAATACTGTTATTTAAAAACAGTAATGGCTGTCATTGATATAGTCCCATAAGACCAAAGTATGTCATTTCATTTGATCCTCACACCAATAACTCTGTGAGGGAGCTGCTACTGTTATCCTCATTTTACAGATAAGGAAACTTGAGGCAGAGAGTGAGAGGGTAAGCGACTTGTAGTATTTGATGCAGGATTATAAACTCATATCTTTCTGATCACCGACTTCTATCACTCCCCTTACAATGCTGCCTAGCTCTCTGTTCTAGCTGCCAATATTCTAATTTCTTATTCCATCTGAAAATAACCTTACTTCTAGTCTGGCCATGGAAAAGGCAGATTGCTGGAAGGAAAGGTTTCCAGGGTTAGGTCAGATTCTGGGAGAAGAGGTTCTGAGTATGGGAGAAAGGAGAGGAGAAAACAATCCATTTACAGTTTCCATTAGGTTGCATCTTTACAGACACATTCTGGTGGAGAAAAAAGGTCATGCCGCCAAATTCAAATGAAAGAGATGAACAAGAGAAAAACTACCTCTCCCTCCAGACTAAAAAGGTTTCTCAATAAGGAACAAAGTGATCTTTTGAGTAAGCACTTGGAGCATATGATATTGAAAGATTCCCAGTTTCTGAGGCATCAGAATATTGTGTACACCCAAGTACACAAAATGTGGGTAGGGCTGAACTTCTGAAACTCCATACCCCCTAATCCATCAAATTAAGTCAGGTCAAGAAGTACTGATAAGCACCTGGCATGTAAGAGGCAGGCCCTGAGCCTGTGCTTGGGATACAAAGGAAGATAAAAAAAAGTCCCTGCCCTCAAGAAGGCCACTGTCTAACAGGGAGATGAGATTCAACAACTCTGTACAATCTAGACACAAGATAAATTGGACGTGATCTCAGGAGGACCATGGATGGGATCTTAAAGGTCATCCAGTTCAATCCCTGTATTTTATAGATGAGGAAACTGAGAACAAGAGAGGGGATGGAATGTGCTCAAAGTCACTCAGATGAGCCATCTACCTCCAATCCCAGCATACCACATTACTGGGCCATACTGCAAAACTTCCCTTATCCTTTAATCTTATATACAATCTAGCTACTATTTAAAACTGTCCCTTTGTGACCTTGGAGAGGGCCTGATGAGGGCCAAACCCCATAAATCCTGGGTGCTGATGATCAGTTCTCTCTTTTAAGTCAGATGTTGGCTTTGGGATCCCTTTGGGACTGACCCGAGTAGCTGGGGTGATTCTGAAAGTGCGATATAGTTCTAGGCCACAACAGGTAACCACTACATGTCATATATGGCATGCATGCCTCTTTCTTTTGTCTCATGAAAAAAAGACTTTTCATCAGATTCAAATGATGATGTCTCTTCCTATTCAGTAACCTGCAGGAAATCCAAAGGGACAGAATCTGTGTATCCCTGGCACCCAGAAACTCTAATGACAGCACTCCTCTTTGATCACATCCTTTGGAAGAATACCCCCAAATCACTTGGGTGTTTCAAATGGCTTTTTGGGCCATGCTGTATGTTTTTCTGAGAACAGAGGAGCTAGGAATATAACTCTAGTCTTGGTCTCTCCTCAAATCTCCCCCACCAAAAGTGGTTGGTGGTACAGTGGTTAGAGCATTGAGCCAGGAGTTACGAAGACCAAATCTAGCCTCAAACACTTCCTAGCCATGTGATCCTGGGCAAGTCACTTAATTTCCGTCTGCCTCAGTTTCCCCAACTATAACTTGAGGGTCATAATAGTGCCTACCCCCCAGGATCGTTGTGAGGATCAAATAAGATAATTATAAAGGGCTTGGCAGATTGCCTGACATGTAGTAGGTGTTTAATAAATGTTCTCTTCCCCTTCCCTTTATTCCTTCCACCACAACAAGTTAAGACTCCATTCTCTGTCCTCCCCACAGACTGCCTTTTAGATGTCATAAGTAAACATTTTAGAATTGGCAAGATTGGGAAAACATGAATTACAGACATGGAGTTAGGAAAATGCCTCTAGCTTCATTGATCACCAACCTTGCATCATTTGTTACATTCTAAGATGTAGGAGAGGCTCATTCAGTCCCACCCAAGATGTTTACCCTGGGGGATGGATGGGTTACCATGATGGTATCCACTGCCCACCCAGGCAGCCAGATGGTGCAGTGAATAAAGTGTTGGGCTTGGAGTCAGGAAGACCTGAATTCAAATGTAGCCTCAGATACTTCCTAGCTGTGTGATCCTGGGTAAGTCACTTAACCTTTGCCTGCCTCAGTTTTCTCAACTGTAAAAGTGGGCATAATAGCACCCCCCTCCCAGGGTTGCTGTGAAGATCAAGGAGACACAATTTTGTAAAGCTCTCAGCACAGTGCCTAGCACATAGTAGGTGCTCAACAGATGCTTATTGCCTCTCTTTCTCCCCTCCCCTGCTTCTCTTGGTGAGTCTGCCCAATCTCCAGGAGAGGCTGCTAGGCTACGTTAAAGAGGCTTAGGCTCAGTTGGTGATAACTCTATCTTCCTTCTTTCCCAAATATTTGTGTAACCTGAGTCCTAAAGACCATTGGAATGGGACTTTCCTCCTGCTAGACATCAATGCTCCACATCTGGGTGAAAGGTGGGGCAGAGTTGGCAAGAGCAAGAGAGAAGAGAACTCTGCTCCCTTCAGACTCTCTTTAAGTCCTTTCTGGCCCTTCTGACTTCTAGCTTCAAGGGAGAAGATGGAAGAGGCCAACCCCATTTCAGGTTGCTAGTGGGAGAATAAGACTCTGGGAAGAAGCTGACATGGCAGGAGCTAGCAGGCTCTATCACATCCCTATGCCTAGTTTGCTACATTTGAGATTTCAGGGAATTTCCCCTGGGGTGAGAACTTGAACTCTCTCAGTTGAGTTATCTGGCTCCCAATGGGAAAGCTCCTTCACTCTGTGTTGTCTGATACATATGCCTTCTCTGATTTCTGTTTGCTATGATTTGGATAAATGGGTTTCTTAGTTACCAACTATATACTTGTATTATGGAACAGATATTTGGTGGTAAAGGGGTCAAGCCTAAGATATAGAACTTGGTGTCCTCATTCCCCTCAATACTGAAACAGTGGTCGAAAGTTAGCTTGAACCTGAAACTCACATCCCCTAGAGTTTAGGGCCTAGACTAATATTTAAGGGAGCAAATAGATATAATTCTAACCCTGTATCCTCTCAAAAGAGAGCAGAGTGGTCAAACTTTTGTCCCCAAGTGCCTGCTTCCCTTACTAGCAAGAATTTTAATTCCTTTAGTCCCCTTTGTAAAAGGGTGGGGGCGAAGAGAAATGTCTAGAGAAATCTATTCTGCCTCTCTTTGAGCCAAGCGATGACATCCCATGCCACATGTTGTGGGACAATTCTTTCTACATTCCCATTTACTCACATACTTCTCTCCTCCCCTCACAAATACTTCTTTCTGCCAGATCTAGGGAGAAAAAATGCCCATGTTTTCTCCTCTATTGTGTCCACTTCTTTGATGTGTAGGAACTTCAGGAATGACTCAGAAAAGTTGCTCACAGAAGCAGGAAGGAGAGTCATGACTGACACTGTTGACTGAAGGTAAAAAGAAAAAGTACCTAAAGAGTTAGCCTGACATCTTGCTGCTAATTGTCTCTCTATGGTACTTTCCCTACAGTACTTTACATCCTATCAAGTGAGCCTTATCACCAAGCTCATTAGATTTGTGTCTAAAATAAGAACAAATGGGTTGAACGAGGACTTCAAAGGTCCTCCAATGAGAAAAATATGGGTGCTTTAATGCAAGCATGTTTTATATATATTTTTACTACTCTTGGGGACTTTCCTTACTTACCTCCTTCGAGATCCTGGGTCATCTCTTCTCCCTCCATACTACTTTACTTAGTGATCTCATCGACTCCCATGGATTTAATTACCATCTCTAGGTTGATGACTGTCAAATCAACCTTTCCTTTTCCAATCTCTCTGCTGACCTCTAGTTGCACATCTCCAATTGCTCCTCAGACATCTCAATCTGGATGTCCAGTGGACATCTTAAACTCATTATTTCCAAAACCGAACTGGTTATTTTCCCTCCTACCAAACCTCCCCCACCCCGTGTCTCCTACCTTCTGTTGAAGGTATTACCATCATCCCAGTCCCTCAGGCTCCCAACCTAGGAGTCATCCTTGACAACTCATTCTTTCTCATATCCCAGGCTGTTGCCAAGCCCTCTTGATTTCACACCTCTACCCACCTCCCCACCCCCACCCCAACATCTCTGGCCAATTCCACCTCTGTATCATCTCTTGTTGATTTCACCTCTGCAACATCTCTGGTCAATTTCACCTCTGCATCATATCTTGTTAATTTCACCTCTGCAACATCTCTGGTCAATTTCACCTCTGCATCATCTCTTGTTAATTTCTGTCTTTTGTCTCTTTTTGTATGTCTAAAGCTTTGCACAATGCCTGGCATATAGTAGGATTTAATAAATGCAGTCCCTGCTCCTCTATTCACTAATTGAGTGGCCGTGGGCTAGTCATTTATCTTCTCTGGGCCTCAGGTTTACTCACCCCTACAATGAGCACACACCAGAGGGCCTCTGGAGGCCCTCCTAGGGTTAAAACTATCATCCTGTGATGTGCCACCCCCAAATGGAAAACTTAACCATGAAAGCTTATGAAAAGTCCTGTTTGCTTATCTTTACCTTTCATTTTTCATTGTTACAGCCTCTTCGTTTGCCTGATTCAGAAGAATTTTTGTTGTTTCCAGTTCATTCTCTGAGAGGCTGACTCTTCTCTTCAAGTTTTCTTCTAGCCTTTCTTTTCCAGCCACTTCTTCCTGTAAATGTTTGCACATTTGTTGACAAGCCAGCAAAGAGTCTTCCTTCTCTTTTAGCTCTCTAGCATGTCTAAAAAAGAATAGAAATATAGCCACCAACGTGCCTGGCTGCCACTCTCTGTTTCTGCTAAAGCTTTGCGGTAACAACGAGGCGGGCGCCATAGTGGGGAACAGTCACACACAAATGCCAGGGGAGCCATTAGGAGCTGGGCCATGGCCAGTCACATGGAGCACACACACAGTGCCACAACAAAGCAAGACACAGTGAAACACAGGGCACCAAATCCACTTATTACTACACTGTAAGTTAAGGAAGTATCAGGATGTGTACCGTGTTTCAGAAATTTTGCTTTCAAACTTCAGTTTTCTACATTTTCTCTGATACTCATCAGCTTCATCTGATTTAACCCTAAGGAAAATAACAAAGATTAAAAAAAAAGTCCATTAAAATACATTTCATCCAAGAAATCAAAAGTTCCATATTTGTTTTATCTTATTATTTGATAGCATTATGAAAAACAAGCCTTTTTTCTTAGTGTGATTATTTATAAATATAGACATTTCCCACTATCTTGAAAGATAATTAAGGTTTTATAATAATACCAAAAAGTTGAGCCTACAAAGAGATATAATTTTTAGTTAGGTATATCAATCAATAAATTCAGTGTCAATAATTATAGTTCAGAGACTTCTTTGTAATTATTAAATAATTCTGATGACCTACAAGGATCACCTACATTTCAACAAATCTAAAATACAGACAGCTCTGACCTTTTTCCTTCCCTCCCATTTTTTTCCTTTCTTAAAAATGTACTTCGTGCTCTTAGATACCACTTGGCCTCTGGAAACTCTAGTGAGGTCTTTCCATTCAGATCATGGCACAAGAGGCCATTTTATGGAGCTTCGGTGAACTTTCTTATGTAGGTTTTTCTTAGTTTGTTATAGTCACATAACTGTGTCATTAATATTAAAAAGCAGACAAACAATAGTGTCAGGTTTAAGCCATCTAAATGGATTGTTTATTCATTAAACCACCACCACCAGTAAAACAAACAAACAAAGAAGCCCTGCCCTGCAGGAGGAGGCAGCCCAGTAAGCTCACTGATAGGCCACTGTTAGGCCAGGCATTCCGTTCTTTTGCTCCTTGGATGTGATTCTTGTCACCAAAATGAATTGTTCATGTGTGAGGAGAAGGAGCTGGCAGTTGTACAAATAACATTCTCATGCACCAGCAGTGCACACTGTAGATTGTAAAGGGCTGATGAGGACCTTGAAGATATCTCTTGAGGAATCACATGAATGTCTAGGGTGAGCCCTGTGTGCAGAACACTATGCTATCGGGAAGAGAATGCCTGGCAGTACTGCTGTCCTTCCTCCATAAAAGCTCAATTCCAATATCTCACTGGGGCACCCAATTGGGAGCCAGCAGGGCCCCCGTTGTGGGAGGCCTCCCCAAGCTAGAAAGACTTAGTAATAAACTGTGTGTCTGTCAGCTGGGAGGCTTAACCTGGGTTAGCTCAGAGCCTTTCATCAGCAGGTGGGTCATAAGGTAATTATTACTATTGTTGTCGCTGTTGTTCTACAAAGGCAACTCATGAAGACTGTCTCCTAAACCCCAGAGGGATTGAGATCTGCCATATGTACAGGGAGACCCTGCAACAAGGATTCTGAAGCTTGGGTGTTTGCAATGCAATCATCTCTTTAAGAAAAAAAAGATTTAGTCCAAAAAGCCTAATTTTGTAAATACCACACAGCTGACAATTTCTGTTTGAAATCTGAAAAAAAAATTGCAAATAGCTACCCATGGTGTCTTTGACTTGTTACATTTGCTGGATTATTCAACAAATCAAACCCAGAGACAGACACACAAATACATAAATTTCAAGATCTGGGAAAGAGACAGGAAGTAGTAGCTATATCATATTTCTTCTCATAATTTCCCACTTTTTAAGCTGGTATTTTACTGGTTATATGGATGCATTAAATCTGGCTGCAGCTTTCTTTGAATATTTTTCTTTTTACTTTCAGCAGAGACAATTATTCATGTGTCTTCAATTGCTGTGACCAAACCATCAGAATGGCTCCTGCTGCTCTTTGCAAGGGAAGCAATGTGGAGGAAAGACATGGAATAATTCCTTCTGAAAATCTAGAAAGTGTGAACAGAAATAGGTATGTGAGAGAGAAGCAGGAGTGAACGGAATAGTTGAGATATATTTCGAAAATAAAATAAAAATATTTGGGAGGAAATGCAGTTGAAAAAGGCAAGGCCAGTTACTAGCCATCTTAGCTTAAGCCTCCTCAACATATTCTAGGAACTTCTGGAGACAGCCACCACAGTAAAGCTGGGGTTCTGGGGGCAGAAGTGCTGGGGGCAGCTCAGGACCACCCTCTGGCTCTTGTTAGATAATACAGCAAGTAAGAGCAATGCGCTTTTGAGGTGAGGAATAACCACAGTTATGTTGCCTGCTGGTACTCTGGCTTTTGCAAAATTCCAGCATCTTCTAAACAGCCAAATAAAATTTGAAAGTCAATGATGAGGCATGTGTCCAATTTATAAAAAGGGGTAACCAAACCTACTGTTTAGAAATTGAGAAGGTGAGGCATGGCTGTGTCCCAAGAGAGCCCAATCTGCTGCTTGGAAGTCTCAATTTCATCTTCACTCCTTCTGCCTGGGGCCTGCTGAGCTGTGCTGAGCTGAGCTGAGCTCACACCAAGAGTTTCCATCCTAGCATTGCTCTCCCTGGTGCTTTCACTAACCTGGGATTTCATCTCACACACACTGGCTCATTGATATTCTCTTTCCTAGAATGAAGCTAGGCTTGATAACCTCTCAAAAACTTGTTGGCTATAAAATTTCGTGAAATATATTCATGGAGGGGCAGCTAGGTGGCACATAACACTTACTAGCTGTGTGACTCTGGGCAAGTCATTTAACCCTAACTGTCTCGACAAAAAAAGAAAGAAAGAAAGAAAGAAGGAAGGAAGGAAGGAAGGAAGGAAGGAAGGAAGGAAGGAAGGAAGGAAGGAAGGAAGGAAGGAAGGAAGGAAGGAAGGAAAGAGAAAGAAAGAAAGAAAGAAAGAAAGAAAGAAAGAAAGAAAGAAAGAAAAGAAATATATTCATGGAATGTTTTCCAAGGTGTTTTTAAGTGTTCAAAAGCAAAGACTTCCATTTTACTTGAAGCAGACCCATGATTATAAAAAGGAAATGTTAATTTTATTTAGATAATTTCCCAAGCAATTCAACCCAAGGATCATTCACTAAATGCCTGCCTGCCTGCCTGCCCTGGGCAAAGCTCTGACCTAAGGGCATAATGCTGATATACCTGTTTACCACTAAGTATGACATGACATATGATTGAATATAATGGGGGCAAAGGGGACTGTGCTGGTCCCAGTGCTGTAAATCATTTTTATCAATGACTTGGATGATAAAGGCCTACTTGCTGATTGGACTTGCAGGCAAGACAAAGCTGGGAGAGCAGGCAAACACTGGGTGATAAGAGAAGGGATCCAAAAAAAGATTGTGACTGGCAATGAAGAGAACAGAACCCAGAAAATAATTTATACAGTAACAACTTGGTCAATCAAATCAAAACATGACAGAGGTGTCAGTTACAGGGTGCAGAGGGGGATTGACGCTTTTTGGATATGGCCAATGTAGGGATTCTTTTTGCCTGACTATGCATATTTGTCATAAGGATTTTGTTTTACTTTTCTCTCATTTGGAGGGGAGACGTGGAGTTTAAAGGGGTTGCCAAAGAAGAAAAGGAAGGAAGGAAGGAGTTAAGAAGATAAAGAAAAGAAAGGAAAGAGGATCATTAAAGCTTTTTTTATGCAATGAAGAGAACAGAAAGAAGGTCAGACCAGCAGGACATATTTTAAAATTAAATGTTAAATTGTTACATACTTAAAAAGAGAAGCTGTATGAGATTTGTAATTTCATGTGCAACACTGTTGTTTCTCTTTTACTGCATATTCATTCTAGTGTTTGTTAACGTCAGAATAAAAAAAAAATTAAGATCACGACCATCTAGACCATTGGCCCAAATCTACTGAAGTGAAAGTTAATGGAGATCAATGTGGTCTCACACTTGGGTTCAAAGAATCCCTGTGACACACTCAAGAGAAGACAGGCGTGGTTAGAGAGCCGTTTGAGAACCAGGGGCGTTTTCTCAATCTGAGCCAACCAGGCGATGCAGCAGGCCCGAAGTTCAAGTGATTATCTCCAGGATCAAATATAAAATCCTTGATTGGGGCTCTGCAAACTGAAGCTGCCTGGCCTCTTGTCATGTATGCCAGGTAAAGTCAGACTCCTTTATAAAGTATCAGTTGGACTTTTCCAATGCCTATTTTATTTAGATAATGTCTCAAGCAGTTCAACCCAAGGATCATTCACTAAGTGCCTGCTTGCCCTGAGCAAGGCTCTGGCCTAAAGGCATAATGCTGATATACCTGTTTACCGGTGAGTATGACACGCCATATGATTGAATGTGATGCAGGCCCCAGGCAGAAGGAATGAAGAGGAAATTGCGACTTCCAAGCAGCAGCAAAGGGGACTCTGCTGGTCCCTGCTCCGTAAACCATGGTCTATTCCAATCTTAAAATTTCACAGTTCTTTTGTTCGGTTTGAACTTGGCAAAGTGCCATATGAAATTTGAGAAGAAAGAGATTTGTTTCACCTAGAAGGGTTGGGAAGGTCTCATGGGACAGGTGACATCTGATTTGGTCCTTAAACAAAGGAGGATGAGGTAAAAGAAGTTATTTCAAGACTTAAGAATGAGGTGAAGAATGAAGGCATAGGAATGGGATGGGGGAGAGCAGGAAAGGAGTGGGTCCATTTGGCTTAGAACATAGAACACTGCATACAAAAGGCAGCAGCAGGAGACAATTCTTTATATGTAGGTTGAAGCAATACTGTGGGGGGGCTTGAATGCCAAGATCAGTAATTAACATGTTATTTGCTAGCTAATGGGAAGACAGGGAATAGAGGAGTGACTTGCTCATTAGGTAGAAGTATGGTGGGTGACTTGGAGAAGGGCAGGTCCAGAAGCAGGAAGCACAATCATGAGGCTCTTAGAACAGTCTACGTGAGTCCAGAAGGGGGCCTGGACTGAATGTCTTCATGGGCTGGATGCAAGAGATAGTTCAAACGAAGAACCAATATGTCTTGAAAACAGATTGGATGTGCGGGATGAAGGAGCCAAAGGCAACTTCAAGGTTATTCACAACTACGAATATGGTGGGCATAGATAGAACACTTATGGCGACAGACTGAGGGGAAAGATGATGAGATCAGCTTGATACCTGTTGGGGCTGAGGTTATGGTGGGCCATCTGGATAGAAGACACAGTCAACAAGAAAGGGCTTTGGGGAGCTGGTGGAACAGAAGTGTCAATATAGGTTAAGGGGTATCCCCACACAGGGGATAACTGAAGTCAAGTGGGTTCCTGAAACATCCAAGGAAGACTAGGCAGATAAGCAAGAGGGCTTGGAGAACACTGGAGAACACTTGGAGAAGCTGGCATTAATTACACCTGTGAAACAGGGTCATATTTAATATTTCTATCATACTCCTCCACAACACAGTAATCAAATCAATACTGTAACTGCTTCTGGAAGAGTGTGTCAATTGGCTACTCTACAGACCGAGTCACAATTTGATTCTCCAGATCAAAGCTCCCCTAAATGTGTGGTTTCACCTTAAGGAACTGCAAAAGGCTGCACTTTGGCACTTGCCTTTCTAGCATTTAGCACAATGCATGACACAGAAAACCCTTCATAATTGCTTTCTCAATCATTCATTCACCCACCCATCCATCCATTCATCTATCCATCCATTCTAGTTTGATGTTCCTAAATCATCACTTGGATAAATTTAAATGACTAAATCCCCAACTTCACTTTTTTGATTACGTTTTCTGAAAACTATGGATGCTAACTTTTCAGAAACAATCAGGTCAACCACAGGAAAACACAGTAAAATCTTAACTATTAATTAATAATTTGTGGTGATTTAGACTGAGCACTGAAATTTATCCTTGCTCTAACTAGGAAAAAAGGCTTGGCTATGCAAATTAATAAGTGAATCAGATAAGAGAACAAATTGTGATCACCTTAGAAACACCCATTTGTAAACAGTTGACAAGCTAATTACAAATCATTGGCAATCAGTTCTTTAGAGCTGCCCTTGCCAACATCTGATACTTTGTTAAGTTACTACATACAGTATATTGAAAAGAACAAAACTACATTTTCTTAATAATCTTTTCCAGTTTGAATTTAATAAAGTCAGTCTTGGCCTACTACTCAATTAATCCCAATCAGTGGGGCATTTCAGCATAAACTCGAGGCAATGTAATATCAAATAATCATATCTCAGTAGTATTGTGAGAATTCTTAACAGCAGAATATGCTTCCAGAGAGCACACTGAAATCTCTCTTTTAAAATGATTTTCCTGGGAACTTTGGTAAAAAACAAAATGGGTAGGTATGCAGTTAACAAGCTATTTATTTGGACCCACTTTGATACTGTGACTACATTGAAACCCATCACCTTGACACAGAAAAGGCATCCTGCAGGACCACCAAGTACCACTAACCAGTGTGAATGCTCAGCAGCACCAGAGACATCAGCTCAGAGACAGAAAGGTCAGTAGAGGCCATCATGTTCAACCCCTTCTCTTTACAAATGAGGAAACTGAGCCACAGAGAAGGTTAAGTGACTTTCCCAGGATCAAGGACCTGGTAAGTACCTGAGGCAGGATTGGAATCCAGGTCTTGCAGACTCCAAGGCCAGCATCCTCACCACACAGCCTCTTAACATCTTAGTGGCTACCAGTGCACCTGGCTTTTCTTGCTCAAGATTCCTGTCCCTTCGTGTTTGGTTAGCCACATGGAGGAGGGATAAGGACTGAATTTATGATTTCATCGGCATAGGAAATTCCCAAGTGAAGAAATTCCATCTAGGAATGAAGGTCAGTGTCTTTTCAGGTAGTCTCAGAGAATTATGTAGAGCAGTGAGAGGTTAAGTGACCTGCCCAGCATCACACAGCCAGTAAGTATAAGAGGCAGGATAAGTTCAAGACCCAGATCTTTCAACCACTTTCTTTCCACTACCAAGCAGGACAGCTGCACGGAGTTATGCTCCACCGTTACCACCAAAAAGGGAAGAACGAAAGAAAAGGCAAAGTCTAAAAATGTGAGGAACCTGCTGCCATCTATCTTCCAACTTCTGAAAGTCCAATGAAAACTTTGGATTTCTCCAAAATCGTCAACTAAAAAGAGTAAAAGAAATTGCTATGTTGTTGACTGTGAAAGGTCAGAGAAATCAGGCACATAGCCACCACATGTGACAAGCCTCCATTGGCCACAGAAGAGTTTTAGGACACAACCAGGTCATCACTGGCTCCAAAGGCTAAGCCTGCTGGACCAAAATAAGTGACCCAGGAGGGAAGGGCATTACTCAACCTGGAGTTACCCAGCCAGGCCAAAGGCAGACACACAGAACTCTCCACTTTTGAGTAACCTGCTCCTTGTAACATCTGAGGGACCAGCCAGCCTCAATAAGCAACCAAGGCGCTGCTAGACTGGGTCAGCTTGGCTTCCACAGCTCAGTGGTGTCTCGTTACTAAGGGATCCATTCTATATCCATTGGGTTCATATGTCTATGTATTTTAAGAGAAATTATTTTGCTAAAAATAATCTAACTATACTTAGATATTTCTATAATTTGCCTTGAATTATTAAGTAATTTATTAGATGTAGCCTTCTTTTAGGTAACAATCTTATTTTCTTTACCAAAACAAATGTTTTGTTGCTAAGCATTCTAAATATTTGTAATTTGTTATGGTCCTTCTCTCTGAATACAGGAACTGAAAATTACAGCTACCAAATATACCATAAAATAAACCTTGTTCCTTGTCAAAGACTCTATAGAGATCCTTGTCTCGTAGCAAAAAATTATGAATGTGCCTTCAGCACATTGAAAACTAGTTAAGACTGCCAAAATAAACCTAAAGTTTATAGAGAGTTGTAGGAGGCTTGTGCAGGGGGCAGGGTTTTTTCTCCCTATATTATTTTGTTTTAGAAGATTTATATGTTTCTTACCAAAACAGAGCAGCAAACTTCTAAGGTGGAGCACAAGACTCGGCAGTCAGTAGATCTAAGCTCGAATACCGACTCTAACACTCCCTAGCTGTGTGACCCTGGGCAAGTCTTTAACCTCCCTGTGCCTCAATTTTCTCATCTGTAAAATGGGAATAATATTTGCACCTACCTCCCAAGGTTATCATAAGGATCAAATGAATTAACATGTAAAGCATTTTGCTAACTTTAAAGTACCAAATAAATGCTATTATTATTATGAAGACTCTTTGCATTTAGAAGTGATTTTAAGAAACAGTTTAACCACGTGACCAGTTCTCTAAGGACAGACCAGAGATAGAGCAGGATAGGTATCGTAGGATACAGACTATCTCACTAAGGAATTATCCTTGAGCAACTGGTTCAAAAATTCTGCAACAGGAAGGAAAGTTCGAGCCCCAACTCTGACGTGTCCTGGTTTGTGTGACCCTAGACAAGTCACTTCCCTTTCCAGGGCCCCTGGCTTGTCTCTGAGCTGAGTGTGGAACTGTTGGGGACCTGCAGAGGCAGAAAGGCTTTCTTCACCATGAGATTCCTAGAAGCAATGAAATGACAGGATTGGTCTCCCCAAAATGTGGCAACTCCATTTCACATGTTTACAAGAGGTCCTGTGATCCCTCATTTGGATGGGGAAAGTTGCCCTTCCTCCTTTGTCTGCAGTCAGTTCCACTAGGGCAGCTGGAATCCTTCCCAAAGCTGCCAGCATGCCGTGCCTGGGAGCACACGTGGTCTGGCTGGCCATCCTCTGGTGGCACATTCTTTTAGCTGGGGCGCTGGGTAACCGGGTCACTTTTAAAATGGGAAAGTACTTGCATGAGCATTTCTTTGTACTGGTCAGTTTCACTGGCTGCTTTCTGAAACTTCAGCACCATGGCCTCTGTTTGACTTTGTAAATCTGAAATGACAAAACAGATCCAGGGCACTTGGGTTTTTATCTTGTTGCCCAGAGTTTTCAGTTCGCATCAAGAGAACTGTCACCAACTTACAGTGGGCCCTCAGATCAATCTGGTCCTAGTTAAAGGAGTTTTTTTTTTTGTTGTTGTTTGTTTGTTTTTTGTTTTTTGTTTTTTTTTGCTTCAGGCCTTCATTCTTTCTGGCCCTGATGACGGCTCTGGCCTCCCTGCCTCCCTCCTGCTTCTCCCCATCCTCTGGACAGCTGTCACAAAGTTCTGGCCTCGCTTCAGGGGCTTCCGAGTGCTTCTGGGATAAACTAGAAAGGTCTCTGAGTCAGCACGATGCTGGCTTGCCTCCCTCACCCCTCCCCCGACATTCCAGCCAGACTGGCCCACTGGCTCTTCCTCATGTAGGACGTTCTGTATGCCGGATCCTTGCCTTTGCAGAGGCTGGCCCCCGAGCCAGGAAGGCACAAACCCACCTGCTTCTCTCGGAATCTCTAGCTTCATTCAAGGTTTATCTCAAGTTCACTCCCAACATGAAGTCTGTTGGGATCTCCCCTGCTGCTAGTACCCTCTCTAACCCCCAGAAATTAGGGGGAAGGAAAGAGAATAAGCATTTACTAAGTATTTACTATGTGCCATGCACTGTGCTAAGCACTTTTCAGATATTATCTCATTTGATTCTCACAAAAGCCCTGGGAGATCAAGGCTGTTATTATCCCCATCCCCATTTGACAGTGGAGGAAATTGAGGCAATCAGAGTTAAATACTTGCCCAGGGGGACACAGCTGGGGAATATCTAAAGTCAGGTTTGAACTCAGGTCATCCTGACTCCACATCCAGTGCTCTATCCACTGAACCACCCAGCTGCCACCCAATACTTTATATTTATGTGTATTTGTCCAAATACACAATGGCCACCCCCAACCTTGCTTTTGTCTAGCGTGGTGCCTGGCATAGAGGAGATGTTCCATAGACACATACTTGTTGAATTAATGAGTGCCTACGGCTATTTATCCACTTTTGTCCTCGATCTCCAGGCCCCACATCAGGTACCAATGTTGCCAGGCAGTCTGGCAACCTGACTTGGGTGTCTGGACAGTGACAGGCATTCAAGAAATTCATTGAACAAATCTTTAGGGAGTTCCTACTGTATCACCAGGCACCCTCTCTTCCCACTAGAAATTACTATTGTTAAGTAATAATTCCATTACCTTCAGTTTTTCACAGAAAGACAAGGTTCTAAGGGGACTATGAAGGCATGTTTCCTGTCCCCACGAAGGGGGGAATCATACACTATTGGTCTTTCTAATGCATGAGAGGTGGTGGCCCTTGTGACTTGGTGATGTTGCCTTATTCCTTCTGAGATCCCTCACAGTGCCTGCTACACTGTCTTGTATACCATAGGCACTCAGTAAATATTCATCAGATTAATAACAATAAATATTCAGAGCAGCCTCACAGTTTGAGATTTTTTTCCAGGCTCATTGCTGATATATAAGTTAATAACCATTCAGAATGTTCACTCTATATAGAATACCTGTAAGACGCTACAATAGATTAGGAAAGAAATGGGATCTGGGATCCCTGCTGTCCAATCTGTTGCAAGCAACTGAACATGCTCCCATGAAGCAACATGTCAACAAATAGCATCCAAACCTTTTTGTTTCCTCAGTAATAAAACAAAAAATATTCTTGGGAGGAACTATTCCAGTAAAAATATTTCAGAATGATTTTTAATGCTTACTAACAATAGCATGGGCAGCTAGGTGGCCTGGAGAAGACTCATCTCCCTGAGTTCAAACCCAGACTCAGATACTTATTAGCTGTGTGACCCTGGGCAAGTCATTTCACCCTGTTTGCCTCAGTTTCCTCAACTGTAAAATGAGGTGGGGTGAAATGGCAAACCACTCCAGTATCTTTGCCAAGAAAACCACAAATGAGGCCACAGAGAGTTGGACATGACTATGACTGAATAACAAAGAAAGATGAAGGTCGAAGATGGAGCTATCTGTGCCAGTCAACAAGAGCTTAAGACCTACTATGAATCAGGCACCATGTAAGGCATTGAGGATACAAGGACAAAAAGTTGTCCCTCCCCACAAGGAGCTTCTATTCTATCACGGGGTCTCATGTGCATATATATACAGTACACACAAGGGAAATACAAGGCATTTTGGGAAGTAGGAGGGATCAGGAAAGGTTTCGTGTAGAACATGGTTGATGCTTGAGCCACGTTTTACAGGAAAGAAGGGATTCTAGGAGGCAAAGCAGAGAACGGAGTGAATGCCAGGCACGGTGGAAGCATTTCCACAGCATGGAACAATGCATATGTGGGATGGCAATCAGGCCACACCAAAGGGAGGAATGTCTGCTGAGCTGGGAAAAGGAGCCTGGGGCCAGGGGGTAGAGGGTTTAAGTGCCACAAAAGGGAGTTCCTATTTGGTCCTATGGGGTATAAGGGGACACTGAAGTTTACTGAGTGGGGGAGGCGGGTGAAATGGCATGATCTGTGATTTAGGAAAATCACTTTGGAAGCTGTGAGGTGGATGGACTGGAGAGACAGGTGATGAGGACCTAAACGAGGGTGATGACCGCGTCAGGAGACAGAAGGAGAAGGCAGGAGACAGGCCGAGGAAGTAAAAAGAACAAGATTTAGCACCTGATTGGCTGCGTGGTGTGAGGGAAAATGGTGAGCTGAAGAAGTGACAGGGTTCGTGAACCTGGGTAACTGGAAGGTTGGTGCTTACCTTCAGCAGAAATAAAGAAGTTTGGAAGGGAGGATGGGGGTGGGGTGGGGCGTGAGATAGAACACAGTAAGTTCTGTTTTGGACATGTCCAATTTGAGATGTCAATGGGATGTCCAGGTGCTATCCCATAGGAAGATATACATGTGCAACCAGAGCTCAAGTGAGAGGCAGGTATGAGATATAAAAATCTGATAGTCCTCTGCAGAGAGATGATAATTAATGTCCCAGGAGCTAATGAGGCAACTAAATGAAAGTTACAGGGAGAGAAATGAAGGATGCCCAGGATAGAATCTTGGGGGGTGCTATTCCCACCGTTAGGAGCTATGATATCAGTGATGAAGGAGATCCAATAAGGAGTGATCAGAGACAGAGGAGGAAAAAGGAGAGGCATTTCATTCCAAAGCAGAGGGAAGAAAGAGACCATAGAACACGTAAAACAAAAGGGTAGACAGCAATGTCAAATTCAATAGATCACAAAGAAAGAAGTTTGAGAAAAGCCCATCGAATTTGATCCTTTAAAAGTCACTGCTAGCTTTGGACGGGATAACCTCTAGGCTCTTTTCTGACTCTGACCAGTGTGATGCCAGGTTGTGGCCTGCCTGGAAATTCAGGCCACGGTCATTTCAATTTTTGAAAAGGCTGCAGCACTTGGTGATCTTGGATTGAATATGATTTCATGCAAAATAATGAAATGACTATGTCCTGAAGCTCCTTTCAGACTGCTCAGCTCCTCCATGCGCTCTAAGTCACAACAGATATGGATCCCATCACCGAAGAATACCAGCTCATGGTCTATGTGGCTTACCCCGACCCTACGCCTGGATGACGACGGGGCAGAGGTGAGTCAATATTTTAGTTTAGAAGGAAGGAAGGGGTCCTGAAATGATGGAATCTAGAGCCAGAGTGTGTGCAAATTATAGTAACAAAGGAAGCAATGTAAGTAACAGAAGAGTTGACACAAGGACTTTGAAAATATCTGCCATAGATAAATCCTAACGGGAAAATGCACTAACAGAGAGACAGTCCTATTCTTTCACGGTGTTATATTCTTTGATTCTATTTTTCCATCCCAGTGATGGAATTACAGTTATAAAATCAGGCAGTGTTGCCTCTTGCAAACAGGTACATATTAGCAGCTATTGTGTATTCTTGTAATAAAGCAACAAGCTCCCCTCATTCAGTCCTTTCTCTTCATAAATGAAGGCACGTGGGCAGGCTGTGCATAAAAGATGAAACCACCTGCCCAAGGCCACTCCTTCAGTTTTGCTGTTAGGAATCCTTAAGCAAGGGTATTGTTCTAGGGTGTCCTTCTCCAAAGCTAAACAAATTCAACTTGAATTTCCCATCATTCAGCATGACATTGGATTATGAGGCAAACGGCCCTGAATGCCTACAGAAAGAAAGGAAACGTTGGCTTTAAACACCGAGCAGATGCAAGGCGGAACACATGGAAACAATCCAAAACTTACAACAGCAAATTCTACTGCACTGTGACTGCTTTCTTTGCAGATATTAAATAAGAAGCAAATGATTTAAAATGAAAAAGACAAAAAGGAGCTCTTAGCCTCTCTTCACATGCAAACAGCTGCGAGCTGGAGAGCATTTCAATATCATCGGATTTTTGGTAATTAGTCATTTAAAAGAATCCTGTGATTCTGAACAGTTTCTAGAAACTACAAATACAAAAGGTACTCATCTGGGGAATTATTTTACAGACAAATATAAAACTTCACTTTCATTTTGGGGGAAGATATACTTGAGGAAATACATAATAGAAACTTTTAAGCTCAGTGTGAGGGAAATTGAAGCTGCAAACTTCCTAGATAAAGAAAAAAATTGAAAATCTATAATATATAGAAGAGAATAATTCCAGATTCAGGAAGTAGCATTGAGGATTTGGAGGAAATGTAAAACAAACAAACAGTACAGCCAACATGGGAGAAGAAAAGGAAGGTTTGAAACTTACATAAACTATGAGACATAAATGGAGTGACATGACCATAGTAGAAATAGAGAAAGCAAAAACGGTGAAATTTATCATTATGAGATTAAAGGGCAGTAAGGGGGCTAAGTTCCTGGTCAGAAGATCTTACAGAGGACTCTAGTGCTAGCACTGTTTGAGTGTGGGGTGCCATTTGGAAGCCCATTACCAGTACTGGTCGTTCCAGGCCTGAGAGGACCAGTTTTTACCATCTGTGACCATGAGGAAGCAGAGGCCTTACCTGTAAGGACCAGAGAGCAGCCCAGGA